CCCCCATCAGATTCTCCTCTGCTCCCCAAGCTAAACCAATTTCCATGCAGTCCATTCTGACTCAGGTGTGTCAGTGCAGAACCATGCTCCATGGGGTTTCTGATGGTTCATTTCAAAGGATAAAGAGCTAGGTCTCTCTCTCTCTCTCATACAAACACACACACACACACACACACACACACTCTGCATCGTATGATACATTTGCTACCAATAATGACGCAGAATTGATACATATTATTGACTTCAGTCTATAATTACTTCCAAAACACTGGCTTATTCCAGAAATACTCATTTCTAATACTTTCCCTTGCCTTACCCTGCGCTAAGAAAGCATCTAGCTTTCTACCTGTTAATGAGACAATATGTTTCTACACTGTGCATCTTATTGTCTGTTTACTTATTTTTCTCATAGTTCATTTTTGAAGTGTGATGGCTTTTCAATGGACAAGTTATTTTCCCTCAAAATGATTAGTGTAAGATTCTACAATAGAGATAATTAAGGAAACTTTAATCTTTATACCCAGCTTAAGGCCTCTGTCCAATCACCAGAAAATATTAAAGTCCAGGTAGGTGGCAAAAGTGATAGAGGAGGATAAAGAAGAATTCAAATACCCTGGACATTTTGACTACAAATACACAATGAACACTCACAAGCGAATTCACTCAAGAATTCAGTCGGAATGGAATATTTAGAAAAAGGAGAGGCTTCCACTTTAATTTTAGGGGAACAATTCTGGCTGTACCTTTTTTATCTGAACTTAAGTTCTAGTTTTTCCATAAATGCCAGGAGCAAAGCTAGTGTGCTTAATGGTTCCATTAGCCCCCAGGCACAAGGAATGGGAGGAAAACGTGAGACCGATGACAGATGAGAAGTTTAAAGAGACGGGAAGTGAGAACAGCAAAGCTAAGATCAGATCTTCCCACAGAGCCATACCACTGTCAAATTGAGAGAGATGGTCCAGTTGCAAAACCCAGGACAGAAATACTCCGATGCTCTCTTTAAACCTGGCAGTTCTCTCTACAGAGGGCTGGGAACTCTAGGCTGAAGGGACAATCCTGCCCATAGCTAAGGGTTGTACAACAATCAAAAACAAAGACACATCTGAAACAGAGATATCGTATGCATGTGTGTCCCTTTGTAGAAAGAGCTAGCTGACCCAGGGAACCCAATGATATTGCTTGCTCCACAAATAACTGTTCAATGATGAACAGTATTATTTTGAAAGTCATTCCATTTATTTAGACTCGCTGTAGCACACCATTGAAGGGTGGAAGAAGAAATGGATAAACAGGGCTGAGTCTCCACAATCATTCCTATAATTTGACAGGGGGAAGGTGGTGTTTGGAAGAAGAGTATGAAAGGAAGAAAGACTGCCATTCTCGGGACAGGAAAGGCTTTTTTGTTTCTAGGCCCCCGCCCCTACAGGCTTCCCTCTACTTTTGAGCAGGAACTAGTTCCTGATCCGAAACAGCACATTCCTGTGGGACTAGGTGGGTAAGTAAACAAGTGATCAAACACCACGTGGGACGTGCTATAAATGAATAATTTAACACAAGATTCTTTGAGAGAATTTAAGAGGGGTTCCTCCACCACCTTGGAAAGATCCAGAAAGGACTTCCAAAGGAAGTGGTATCTTAGTAAAGATCGGACTCATGTCTGAGTCAGTTGTGGGAAGGAGTTGGGGAAAAGGTAAGGTATGTGTAATGGATGTGGGACCAAATAGGGAGATTACGTTGAGGAGAATAAGAGTGCCACACACAAGAGATGGGGATGGAGAAGTGGGCGGAGGTCAGATCAGAGGAGTCTAGTGGGCCAGGCAAGGCCGGGTGGACTCTGCTCGTCAAGGAGAAGATAGAGGACAGGGCCAGATTCAGGTTCTGGAAAGATCCTTGGGCTGCTGCAAACAGACTGATTAGAAGGGATAAAATCCAAGGGCCATAAGATGCAGCCTACGCCACCTTCTAAAATGTTAGTCGTGGAAGAGTATTTCCGGCCTGCCTTGGCGAAGTGGCTGTCAGTTGCTGTGGACTTGGCCACTCCTCATGGCGACCTTATACACAACAAAAAGAGACTGCCCATTCCTACTGTGGTTCTATGTCAATCCACCTCACTGATGGGTTCTCTCATTTATGGGGACCCTCCAGGTTACGCTACTAGTCTCAGCCCTCTCGGACCAATCACTTGCACCATGAGTGAGAAATGTCACTACCGCATGCCTCAGGTAACAGAGTTCTTTCTCACTCTGTCAGCATAGCAGCACAGAAGGAAAATAAGTACGGACAAGGCAGACTCACACTTCCCAAAGTCATCAGGAAGCTATGAGCCACCGAGGTCCCTCTGAGCATCTGCAAACCGCACACCTCCAAGTCATCTCACCTGCTGACGAAGCAACGCATCGCCAAGGAAACTGCCTTGCATCTGTCTCCTTGGAGACGGACTGAGTGTGGCAGCTTTTCTGTGGGCTGCAGCAGACTGGGAAACAGGCATGCAGGGCCTTGCCCAAGCCATGTCAAGGAAGGAGCTGCTAAAAATGGAACCACTTTCCACCCACACCACTCCCTAGGTTCATATATCCATGTGTACACCACACAAGTGTCCACAACTGATCCGACTGCAGACATATTTGGAACACAGAGAGCAGGAAGACGTCTAGAGACGAGCCAGTTCTTCCAGAAAGCACTCAGGGGAAAAGCCGTCTTGTTCCAGGGATCTCTCTGAGTCACTTCTCCTGGTCTTTTGTTTGAGCACTTCATGGTTGGCTGTGGGGAAGATCAGACGGTTCTCAGGCACATGACCCGTGGAGAACAGTGCTCGCAAGTGGACCGCCCTCACTGGGTTACGGGGGATCTGACAAAATGTTCTGCATCCCTAGAGCCCTCACAAAAGGAGTCCTGGTGGTGCAGTGGTTAAGCAGTTAGCTACCAATTGAAAGGTTGGTGGTTCCAGCCCACCCGCAGGAAGCTCGTGGCCCTCTCTTCGGGTCAAGGTTTTTGTTGCGTGGCACTGACTCAAGGTCGACTCACAGTGACCCAATGTGACAAGCAGAGGCGCTGCATAGGATTTCCTAGGCTCCATGCTTTATGAGCACAGCCCACCACCTCTGTTCTCCAGCGGGGTGGCAGGACCTTTGTCACCAGGGCCCCTTCCATCTCCATGACTTTCCAGGAAGACCCGTGGGGCAGAGTTTGCTTTGTCAACAGAGTGGGACTCAAGGACATGGAACAACAGAGTTCTTAGGGGCACAGTTTCTTTCTTTTTTATCTCTCTGTTGTTTTGATCAATGTTGGCGCTGCCTCCCTTAAAAACAGATTCTAATTCAGCTAAGATAAAATGAGGAGCGGGAAGTCACTGTGTGAACGGAATCAGAGCAAATGCTATCTAAACACTTGACTTGGCCTCCCTGCATCCGAGAGCGGGTTGGCATGGATCCCTGTCTACCACTGTACTGAGAGGAGAGGGCAGAGGGGAAGGGTGGCACAGACAGGCAGGCAAGGAATGAAAATCCTTCTAATGCTGATTACTCTTCCCAAAATTCTTGGATTTAAACTGTGTCTTGGAACTCAGCTTGCTTAATATAGAACTGTATTCATACTGCCTCTCCACAGCCTGCGAGGGGATCTTTCTGTGAACCTGAATGCATTTTCTGCACACAAGCCTGCGAGGCTGAGCATCGGAACACACAGCCCTGCCACGCTAACCATCCCGGGACATGCTTAGGCTCTGCTTTTGGAAATGGAAAGGATCTATTTAGGAGCAAGAGAGGCACCGAGGTTAGCCAGTAGAAGTGAAGGGAGTCAAACTAATAAAATCGGCAGAAATGGTCAAGGCTATAAAAAGTAAAGAAAGGGACAACTCCAGGAGAATGCACAGTAGCGTGGGAAGTACCGGGCTTAGAGTGTCCCAGAAAGAGCTCCCAAGCGCGGCACCTCTGACCAGTGAGCGTAAGGCCTGCATGCCGCACTGCCTCCCGGCTTCTCTGCTATGCAGCCTCCACCCTTGGGGCGATGGAATCATTTAGAGAAAGAGCGCCAGGAAATGCAGCAAAACCTTTATGGTAGAAAAGGCACAAGAAATACATGGACAAACCAGGAAGGAGTGGGAGAATCCCCTAAGACCATGCAGCTCAGGACTATACCGAAAGCCATCGAAAGCCCAGGGGAACCCCTGGAAAAACACAGGGGCCACATGAACGATTTTCCCCTTTTAGAGCCTGTTCCCAAGCGATATGGTTCAGAAATGGCTTCTCTTTTTGCCTTTGCTGTCGTTACGGATGTAAATCAACAACCGTTACTTTCGAATAGCTGGGGGGGTGGGAGTGGGTGTGCTTGTACATCTGCAGTGTGTGCACACGTGGTGTATTGTCCTGACAGTTTAAAGTCCCATTTCTGATGTAAGAAATTCAGTATTCTTAATTACATCTTAGCCAAGAACTGGCAACAATAATTCTAAAAGCAGAGAAGTCATTCTAGAGCTAACACAAAGGTGTTCACGACACGCTAGGCACTATGTGTTAAAAAAGAAAAACCACTTGGAGCCATGCTTCTTAGAAGGTATCAGAGCGAGCTGCCTGTGATACGAGGCCCGATGGTGGCATGATGGCTAAGGGTGTGGCTGCTCATCCGAAAGTCAGTGGCGGACTGTAGAGCTGCTCTGCAGGAGAGCGAGCTGAGACCTGCTCGCATCAAGGGTACAACCCAGCAAACCCTATTCGGAACTTCTCCTTGGCCGCACAGGGTTGCTACGGGTACAAAATGGACTGGTTGGCACCTAACAAGAGCAGCATCAGCAGCATCAGCATCAGCATCAGGACCATCCAACAGGTATACATAACTTGGGTTTGTCTCAAGTAAGCCATGTCATTTGGTGGCGGTAGCTCAGTGTTTCCCGAAGTGGGTGACACTGCCCTCTGAAAGGATGTGTGTGTGTG